CATAGTGGGTAAGTGACTTGACTGTTAACCAGAAGGTCAGAGTTCAAACCCACCAGCTGCTCCATGGTGGGAAGACCGAGTGATCTATTTCTGTAAAGAGTTACAACCTTGGAAACCCAATGGGGGTCACTATGAGTAGGAAACGACTCGATGGCAGTGAGTTTGGTTTGTTTGGACTCACGCAGAGAGTCGGGCAGATTGCTGAGTTCTGGGCAGCTTGTGTAGGACTCTCTGGGACAGATGACACCTCAAGCTCCTTGACAGCCCCACTCTGCTGTCTGTCTTCTGGGAAGGTGCTCCGTACCCCCTTGGCTGATGAGCTTCACACAGCGCAGTAACCTTCACAGGATTCCCTTTCCACCTACCCAGAGCAGCACTTCATCTGCTTCCATTTTACACTGAATATTTCAAGGTGCCAGATGCCAGTCCCTGGGTGCTGCAAATGGTTTTTACACTTGTCTGCTAACTGAAAGGTTGGTAGTTCAAACCTACCCAGTGGCACTACGGAGAGTACTCTGATGATCTGCTTCTGTAAAGATTACAGCCAAGAAAATCCTGTGGAGTAGTTCTGCTCTGCACATGGGGTCACCATAAATCAAAAACCACTTGACGGCAACAGGCTTTGTTTTCGTCAGATCCCAATACCTGGCTTTCTTTCTCATGTTTTCTGTTTAGACCCAGAGGTCCCTCCCATCTGAATGTTTGTGGAGTGACATGATAGTCATCATCCTACGTGACCGTGTTCATATGCTGCACCAGGCAGGCACTTCACATTGCATTCTCCCCTCATGCAATTGCCATGACTTCCAAAGTAGGTTGTTTTATCCCCGCTTTACAGCCGAGGAAACAGAGACTTATAGGTTGAGTCATTCCCACAGTCCCATCAGACCTAAAACGCAAACTCCATCCTGACTGGCCTCAAAGTTGATACTCTTTGATGTCCTAGACTGAGCACAGCCAAACATGCAAATAAAAAGGTCCTGATGCCACTCACCCCACATTCTATATACATTTCTGCTTTATCTGCTTCTCAAAGTCAGTGGCTACTCAGAGGCACAGCATGCTAACCCCGAAAAGCACATGAACATTTTACTTAATCGCTGTTAGGACAAATCCTATTGGCAGCCACTATGCTCTCAAGAGCCCTGATGGTGCAATGGTTAAGTCCTCAACTGCTAGCCAAAAGATTGGCAGAGCAGCAGATTGCTTCTGTAAACATTCAAAAAAAAAAAAAAAACCCACTACCATTGAGTCAATTCCAACTCATAGCAACACTCATTGTGTATCCAAGGCTGTAAATCTTTTTGGAAGCAAGCTGCCTCATCTTCCGCCCACAGAGCAGCTGATGGCTTTGAACCACCAACCTTCATGGTTAGCAGCCAAATGCCTTTACCCACTATGCCACAAGGGCACCTTCTGTAAAGATTATAGCTTTGAAAATCCTAAGGGGTGGTTCTACCCCATCCTGTAGGGTCACTATGAGTTGGAATCTACTCAACCGCAATGGGTGAAAAAATACACCACCTTAAACTTAGTATTTTGGATTTGAACAGACATTTAGTCTAAAACATCTGTAGTGATGATTTGAATGAATTTGAAAGGAATATGTGATTGCCTTTGTGAGCCTGGATGACAGGCTTGTCCAGAGTTAGGGTCTGGGGCACGTGTTGCCGGAAGTGTCGTTGTTGCTATGTGCTGTCGAGTTGGACCTGACTCATAGCGACCCCTCCTTGGGTTTCCGAGGCAGTGTCATTACGGAAGTAGATTGCCTAACCTTCCTTCCGAGGAGTGGCTGGTGGGTTTGAACCACCAGCCTTTTGGTTAGCAGTCAAGTGTCTTAGGCACTATGCTCTATCTGTATTATCAGTGAAAAGCAGGAGTCAACAGCCTCACAGGCATGTCTTTGATGACTTGATGGGATGAGGGAGTGCTCACGCAGACACTTGTCCCCTCCAAGCAAGTGCTCAGGGTAAATAGTATTTACTCTGACTCATAGCCATTCATGGCAACCCCATAGGACAGAATAGAACTGCCCATAGAGTTTCCAAGGCTATAATCTTTACAAAAGTAGACTGCCACATCTTTCTTTCCACAGAGCTACTGGTGAGTTCAACTCACTGACCCTTCAGTTAGTAGCCAAGTGCTTAACCACTGTACCAGGCCTCCTGTAGTATTCCTTACTAGCGTTATAATGAATCAAATAGTACCTGATATTGGTGCTGTTACATGGAAAATCCCCACAAAAATCCACTAGGAATAGAAGAGGATGTCTTTCTCTGTTCTCTAACGTGAAGGAACAGAGGGACTGTGCCCATGGCTACAGGAGACCCCGTACGTCATTTAACCTCCCAGATAGGTTGTTATTATGTGCCGTGGAGTCAGCCTCGACTCATACGACCCCTCCTTGGGTTTCCAAGGCAGTATCACTACAGAAGTAAATTACCCAACCTTCCTTCCGAGGAGTGGCTGGTGGGTTTGAACCTCCAGCCTTCTGGTAAAACCACCTAATTGTTTGAAAGGCCAAATGCTGATCTCTTGATACATTACAGGAAAAAAAAAAAAAAAAACCTCGGCTATCCAGTTGATTCTGACTCATAGCGACACTAATTGGGTTTCCAAGGCGGTAAATCTTTATGAAAGTCGATTGTCCAGTCTTCCTTCCGTAGAGTGGCTGGTGAGTTTGAACTGCCAACCTTCTGGTTAACAGTCAAGCGCCTTAGGCATTGCACCACCATCCCTTGATGCACCGTGGTGGTTGGATAAATAAGGAATTAGAGTAAAACCTCAAAGATGCAGGACCATTCAAATCAATATGTATGGTCTGAGCATTAGTACCAGCCCATACTAGTAAAAATATGAGTTATTACATTTTTAAATGCAGTTTTATTGGTTTTAAAAGCCCAGGCACTTAGGAGACACTCCATAAATATTGAATGGATGTTTAGATAAATGGATGATGGAAAAATGGGTAGATGGGTGAATGAATGAATGTTAACACATATCACACTTGCTCTGTGCCAGGCACTACTCTAAGTACTTTGTATTTATGAACTTACTTAATCCTAAGATGTCCCTATGAGGTAAGTACTATTAATATGCTCTCTTTAAAGCTGATGCACAGAGCAATAATTTGCCCAAGGTCATACAAGCTATTGAATGACAGAGCTGGAATTTGAACCTGAGAGTCTGTTCTAGAGTCCTAGTTCTTCACCACTCAGAATGCGTGCAAACATGAATATACAAATGTTTGAGTAGAATTTTCATTAAGCTTCTTTGTTGTATCTATATTATGCTGCCAGAGTGCTTGAAATGTGTGTTCCCATAATTACATCTGCCATTTAAAAATGAGTAAACAAATCTAATGCCTCTCACTTCCTGGCTGGGAACATTAAGGCTCAGAGAAGGAATGGGCTTGGCCCCAGGCTCCCGCAGCAGCATGTGGCCCAACTGAGGCAGAACAGAGACTTCTCCATGATGCCTCCAGTTTCTCATTTTCCATTCATTGTCAGTCCGGGGTTCGTGTACTGAGCTGTTTCTTTTGCCCATCTCCAGATTCTTTCCAGGGTTCCACATACAGGAGCCTGAACTGACATTCGCATTAGGTTTTCTCCAGCAAATAGTAGCCTAGAAGCCCCTCTTCACTATTGTTTCCTGCTGACTGAGAGATGCCAGTGCTCTAGACACCCCCAGCCTTTCTCCTCTTCTGAAGCTGGAATTGGTTTCCCGAAAGACCAGAGAATCTGCCCTTTGCTTCTAGCGTGGACTTGGTTTTTCTTTTTCAGATTGGACCATTCAAAAGAGATGGCCAGCTGGGTCAGGAAATCTGTGCTGGCCCTGTGTGTTCCAGGAAGGGCTTGTTGGTTATGACGCAGATACAGATGCCCACCAGCAGGAGGCAGCAGAGCCTCATAGTTATGAGTGCCCAGTCTGAAGACAGGCTGCCTGGGTTTGAATCCAAATTCCTCTGCATAGCTGTGTGACCTCAAGCAAATTATTTGCCTCTCTGTGCGTCAGTTTCCTCCTCTACAAAATGGTACAACAATAATGCCTTCCTCATAAGGTTGCTGTATCTAATGAGATTATACACATAAAGCGCTTAACAATATTAACCATACTAAGCACCCAATGAATGTTAGCTATTTTTTTATCATCACAATCATCTTCCTGTTAGAACAAATTCCAAAGGATTCTCCACATTGATCAGTTGCTCTAGAGCTTTGTTTTATTGAAAAATGAAATGACAGTGTTATAAGCTATGGTCTTTGGGATCTTTATCCAAAGGTACTTTATAAATAATCTTATGGTGTGATTTACTTATAAAAGTATTAGACCTTAGAGCATTAGGAAATGGGTTTCTGACATGGATTTTAAGTAAGGCAGTAACTTGCCTGAGGTGAGGCCCATGGCTTGTTCGCCTAAGGGTTTAATGAACCTAACCTTCTGTTGGAAGATGGGGTTCCCAGTACAGCCTCGACACTTTGATCCACTCTGCTATGGGATCTGGCAACCACAGACAGACTTCAGTTATAACAGTTACAACACTGAAAATGATCTTTTGTATTACTTGATTTTACAAATACTTTTTTTAAAAAAATGATTGATTAAATCATTACTTACACTGGGTGGTGCAAATCGTTAACAAGCTTGGCTGCTAACCAAAATTTGGAGGTTCGAGTCCACTGAGAAGTGGCTCAGAAGAAATGTCTTCTGTACTATCAGCCACTTAACACATTACGGAGCACAGTTCTACTCTGACACACGTGGAGTCTCCATAAATTGCAATTATCTCCTGGGCAACTTATTGCTTATATATCCTAAAGTAGCTTCAGGTTCATTTAGATGCTTTGCTTTTCTTTTTCTGAGTCATGAACACCAAGATATTTGAGTTCTGAAACATTCCAAGAAAAGCATTTTGTGAAATTTTCAGACAGACTGTGTTGTCACCTTTGCTGGCAGTGACCCTTGTATAACTTTGCTGGGATCCACCCTTGTTTTTCCAGCTGTACCGAAGCTGAAGCTGCTCTGTGGAGCAGATGTCCTGAAAACCTTCCAGACCCCCAACCTCTGGAAAGATGCACACATCCAGGAAATAGTGGAGAAGTTCGGCTTGGTGTGTGCAGACCGGGCAGGCCACAACCCTGAGCAGTACATCTTGGAATCACCCATCCTTCAGAGATACCAGCACAACATTCACCTGGCCAGGGATCCTATGAAGAACAACATCAGTGCCACGTATGTCAGGTACGCTCTGGGCCAAGGGCAGAGTGTGAAGTACCTGCTCCCCGACGCCGTCATCGCCTACATCAAGGACCACAAACTCTACACCAAGAACAGTTCCTGGGCAGGCAAAAGCACCCAGAGGAATGAAGAAAAGACAAGCTAAGTGGGGCTCTGCAAGCTAGCTGCTACTCCTCCACTGACTTCCTCCTGAGGAGAGGGCTGTTAACAGTTTTTGTTTTGCCTTTTATCATTTGTTTTATTTCTACAGTGATTTTGTTTTTCAGTTCTCTGCTCCAGAAATGATTCCTTCTTTTGGAATCTGTCTGTCTACATCTCAGGGATGTACATTTATCAAAGAAGATGGTGGCAGGTCAGTAGGATTAGGCAGCCTCTCAGAACCCCCGGATGGAGACTCCTTTTTGTTTCTTGTGGATGGTTCATTGTGCAGAGCCACAGGGAGCGTGCGCACTGAATGCAGCTGTGGGCATGGCAGGGTCCTAAGGGTCATATCAAAACTGCCCACAATGTGTTCTTCAGTGTGCAGCGTGCTGGTCTTCACTGGAGAGATTTGATAGGATGCTAATTTTACCCAGTAGTAGGGTTTGTCACTTCTTGCAAGCAGAATAATACTAATTGAGGAGTCAACAATCTGGAAGCAGCACTTTGCTGACTTGCATTGAATCCTCCCTTACAAACCATTGTCTGCCTGCCTACTGGCCACTGATAAAATTTAAACTGAACTCTGATTGATCCTCAAACAATGTTTTTGACACAACAGATATTTTTTAACACTGCTGTCCTATAAACAAGGAGCTCTGGTGGTGTAGTGTCTAAGGCACCTGACCGCTAACTAGAAGGTTGATGGTTCAAACCCACCATCCACTCCATAGAAGCAAGAGTGGGCAATCTACTTCTGTAAAGGTTTACTGCCTCAGAAACCAATGGGGGTTGCTGCAAGTCAGAATCGACTCGATGGCAGTGGGTTTTGGTTTTGTCCTATAAACGCCACAGCTCCTGATTTCAGGATGTCTAAAAGGAACCGAGGTGAAACAGATGCCTGGGCTGTTTTGAGGCTCTTTTTGAATGTTTTATGAGTGCCTGTTTGAATGTTGGCAAAGAGATAAATAATAAATTGACATCAAAAAGTACTAATGGAAAGTTTCTTTTTTTCTTCCTTTGTTATATTATTAATGTCTGCTGTACCAGCTGTTGCTTATCTTTTTTAGCTACTCCATGAAATTTGCTACTGTTGCAGTCGAACTGGCATGAATTTAAGAGTTTATGTTCCCAGGTACTAGCTGAGAAAGAAGCATTGCTTTTCAACACGATGCAAATGGTTTTCTAATCTGAAGTGCTCAGTGAATAGCTCCGTTCTTGTGGGTCCTGCAAAATGGTAACGGTAGCCATGGCAGTGTGGAGGACCTGTCACAACACTCTCAGATTAGAAAGCAGTTTTGACTGGCCTGATGCTATTTGGGTTTGCTCTACCTTTGCTGACCAGATGGCATAAAGCATTCGGAATCTCCACAGTTTTACCCTACAGATTTAGTTAGGCAGAAAAAACAAAGGGTCAACCAGGAAGAATCTAATATCCCCCAAAAAAATACCCCATTGTTTGTATGTGTGTTATCAGGAGATGAGTAAAGTAGGAAATCAGGGTTTCCTGGATCCAGAGTGGTGGGACTGTCTGGTGAGGAATCCCCAGACTACCAGCCCACCCCCACTGACCTATGACCCTCAAGAGGTCTCTAAAGATGCTGACAATTCATGGAATCAAACAGCCTGGTCCAGAAGCTACCGCAGTATGCTGTGTGACTCTGATTAACTCCCTTTCTTGCTGTGAGCTTCAGTTTCCCTACCGATTAAACTAGCTGCCGTGAAGTCAACTCCATCTCGTGGTGACCCTGTGTGTTTTCAGAGTGGAATTGCACTCCCTGGCATTTTCATGGCTGTGACTTTCAGAAGCAGGTTGCCAGACCTTTCTTCCAAGGCCCTTCCAGATAGGTGCGAACCACTAACCTTTTTGGTTAGTAACCAAGTCCTTAATAGTTTGTGCTACCCAAGGACTCCCCAGACCAATTAGACTCTCAATGCTATTCCAGCTCTAAGACCCTAAGTGTCTCTGGCTTCAGCTGTCCACCTTCTTTGTGCCCAGTACACTTTTAGCCAGACTGGAAGCTCCCCCAAGCCAGGGGATCTTTGTTTTGTTTGCTGAGCCATCCTAAGTGCCTAAAAATTTGCTACTCAGAGTATGGTCTCCCACTGGCAGTGTTTGCATTGCCTGGGAGCCTGTTAGAAATGCAGAATCTCAGGTCCCACCCAGACGTGGAATCTGCATTTTAATAACATTCCTAAGGGACTCATGCCCTGGCCTGAAACAGTGGCTGTTACACTAAGTATTAGTTGAATGTATGATTGAGATTACATCACACTTACTCTGGTGAAGATCTCTTCCTCCTTACCCCCTGAACAACGTTGCCTCATTGTTCTGTGTGGCATATAGAGGGCAAAGAAGAAAACCTTGCCAATAGGTATAGTGTTCAGAAAACTAATAGAGAGGAGGCTGAGAGGTTTAAGGCAGAATTTCTTAAACTCAGCATTGCTGACACATAGGTCCTGGCACTTCTTTGTTGTGGAAGCTGCCCTGTGCATTGTGGGATGTTGAGCAGCATCCCTGGCCTTCACCCACTGTATGCTAGTTGTGTCCCCCTAATTGTAACCACCAGAAGTGCCTTCTGACATTCCCAGATGTCATCTGAGATACAAAATAATCACCCCTGGTTGAGAATCACTGGTTTAAGGGTATGGCTGTGGGTGTGCATGCATGAGGAGAGGTTCTCTCTGGAGGGGTTTTCTGTTTCCCAACAGGGAAAATCAGGAAGCTACAGCCTTCTAATAGACTCCTCAGGTAAATTAATAGTGTTGGCCATTTGTTCTGAGGCATGCAGTGCTGTTAACAATAGGAATAGATGACACACACCTGATTCACAGGCACACCTCATCTTTGGTCTCCCTTTATGTTTAAGTGCTCATAGTGGCTTTCTCTTCCATGTTCTTATAGGCTGAGGATTGACAAACACCCTGTACCCTGAGCACTGACACAGAGGTTCTGGCAAATGGAGACTCTTAAGTGAGTGGAAGCTAGTTGTTATTCAAAAATCAGGATTTATTTATTCAAATCTTACTGACTGAGGACTACTCATGTTTCAAGGAGCTCTGGTGGTATAGTAGTTAAGGCATGGTTCAAACCCACCAGCTGCTCCATGGAGCAAAGATGAGGCAGTCTGCCTCCATAAAGATTTACAGCCTTAGAAACCCAGTAGAGGTCTCTATAAGTCAGAATCGACTCAATGCCAGTGAGTCTTTAGACTCACGTGCTAGGCACTGGGCTAAGTCCTAGGGTTACAATGGTGAGCAAAACAGACACATCTCTGCTCTTGAGGAGCTTACAGTCCAGTGTGGAAGATGGACATGAATCACATAATTATATGACTAAACATGATTTCAAGCTGATGAGGGCCCTATTTTGGTTCTCTAGTGCCACTCTAACAGAAACACCACAAATGGATGGCTTTGACAAACAGGAATTTATTCCTCTACAATTTTGGAGGCTAGAAGTCCGAGTTCAAGGGCCAGCTCTATGGGCTGGGTAAGGGCCCCTCGACCTTGGGCTTCAGCTCTTTCTCCTGTTCCTAGCCCACTGGAGCTGGAAGTTTCTCTTAACTCAGGAAGCTGCTGGCATCCGAGCTGACAAACCCAAGGTCTTCACGTACAATGGCACAGTCCCAAGATTATTAAACAACACAGCAGGCCACTAGTTCAAGTCCAGAAACAGTTCCAAGATCAGCAGAGCCAGTGTGGCAGGCTGTTGAATGAAGGCACAGCTACGTGCAGGTTCCAAGTATGCCAAAAAGCTAGAGACCTCTCTCAAAGCTTCTTATCTACTGGAAGCAGACCACATCCCTAAGGCAGCTACTCAGCTCCTCCAGTAGATTTCCACCATGGAGTTGATTACCAGTCTCATCATGGGGAAAAACTAAATCCAGCTGCGCAGCCACTCAAAACCAGGTCCAGCCAAGTTGACACATAATCTTAACAACCACAGGCCCTGAGAGAAAATGTCCAGTGTATTCTGACAACCCACAGCAAGTTTGCCATGAAACTAACAAAGCTGAAACTTCAGGGTCCCTCATTTGCACAAGCATTTTCCAGGGCCCTAGAGACATCCTAAGTACATGAGTATCTAGTTTTAAAGTCACAATTCTTATTTCCTTTCTGAAGAAAGGATCCTAAAAATTGTATAAGGTTTGTTGTTGTTAGTTGCTGTCAAATCAGCTCCAACTCATGGTGACTTTATGGGTAACATGAAATATTACTGGGTCCTGTGCCGTCTTCATGATCACTGGTGTAATCAAGTCCATTGCGGAGGCCACTCTATAAGGAGGGACTCACCTTCCAGCAGTTTATCACATAAGGTTTTCGTTATGTGATCCATAAGGTTTTCATTGGCAAATTTTTGGAAATAGATCTCCAGGCCTTCATCCCTAGACTGTCTTCATCTGGAAGCTCCTCCGAAGCCTGTCCACAATGGATGACCCTGCTGCTATTTGACATACTAGTGCCGTGGCTTCCAGCATCCCAGCAACATGCAAGCCACCACAGAGTGACGCTGACAGACTGGTGGTGTGTATAAGGTTTGTTGTTGTTGTCGTTATTTGCCGTCAACCCGACTCATAGACACCCCTCCTTGGGTTTCCAAGGCAGTATCACTATGGAAGTAGATTGCCCTATCTTCCTTCCGAGGAGTGGCTGGTGGGTTTGAACCGCTTCCAGCATCCCAGCAACATGCAAGCTGCCACAGTGTGACACGCTGACAGACTGGTGGTGGGTATAAGGTTTAGGCCGTGCAAAATGATTTCCCCTTGAAGAGAGTGTAGATAATAGGACACCCAGGAAAATAATAATGGACTTGAGACCCGAAGCATGAATTCACAAGACAAAAAAGTGGAGCTGACTTGCTTCCAGGCAGAGAGAAAGGCATGTACAAAGGCTTGGAGGCAAGAGGGGCAAAATGAGCAGCAAGATGAGCTAGCTTCATCATCACCCCCCCTTAAGAAAGTGTTCTTTATAGCAGTGAGCATCCGACAGGCATCCTTGCATGCC